CCCCCCCCCCCCCCCCCCCCGATTCCTTGACCATTGGTATAGTTCAGTTCAATTGCCTGACCATTATAATTTACGATGGCCATGTATAATTAATATCATTTCAAGATTTTGTCGGCATCTCACTTGAAGGGTCGTCTAGATGGCAATAGGCAATTCCAGCTTTTAGTTTATGCGTGCAGGGGACGATGGGAAGTAAGGTATCACATTGTTGATTATGCTGAAAAAATAGATATGGTGGCTGTGTAAACACAGAGTGATAGCTTATACTTGTAAATATTGAAATATTTCGATTGTTTCAGTAGTTTTTATTGAAATTTTTCAGCATAATCAGCACTATGATACCTTACTTCCCATCATCCCCTGCAGGCATACACTAAAAGCTGGAATTGCCTATTATCGAGTGGAATCGCAGGGTCGCAGCTCAGTTTGTTAGAGCGCTGCACCGGAATCGCAGGTTCGCTGGATGCTGCCAGGGACCTATATATAGTTGCAATTTTCGCAGTTGTTCCTGGTTAGGTCTAACAAATGTGTATAAATTTCCACTCAATAATTTCCATCCACACGACCCTTCAACATGTATAATTAATCACTATTTATTATACTCACTAATACAGCATAATATTTCCATTTATTCTAATCACTGTGTTGTCAAGATATGGTGCAGTTTTAACAGTTTAATTTTTTTATTTTGCTGCTATGAGCCTATATGAAGGTTTACATTATATGTATACACATATCCTCTCATTCTTTTTAATATTAGCTAGTTACATATACAACTACCAAAATAGGGCATGCGTTACTATATAGTTGTAGTTTTTGTTTAATAAATATGTTCAATTGATATGAAAAAGTTATATTTATTTAAAGAAGTTTGCCCAGAGAGCTATACTGCTCATGGATCTCTCTTAATTTGTATTTATTCGTACATGCATTTCTCTTACCGTAAAGCTTTTGTGTTCGGAATCTACCGTCTGTTTTGAAGTTTTAGTAGAAGAAATATTGTGCATTCTCATTCTATTCATATTCCAGTTACATACAACCAAAGCAAATGACTTTCTATACTGATCCAAACGCCAGGCATAGACGAAAGGATTGATTAGAAAATTTAAAAATTTGATTGGAAAGAAATATCTCATGAAAACTTGAACTTCAGGATGTGGGCGATTGCTAAACAAGAGGTAGCCATAGTGAATTTGAGTACCAAGATTGTATGGAATAAATGTTACAAGCAAGATCAAAACTAAAATTGAAACAACCATTAATAACTGAGTTTCAATCGCAGTCCTTTTGGTAAATTTCGTTCGTTTTGGTTTGGCCGATTCTTCGTCATTTTCAGCTCTTCTTGGCGGTGTAGGAGTGACCTTTTCTACCGCACTCGTTTGTTGTTGTGCTCGCCTAAAATAACGAAGTATGACTAGATAAAGAATCGCAATAATAATCAAAAGCACCTCCATTAAACAACTAAGCACGAACGGCATAATTTTTGGCAGAAAATGTATGGAGGTTGCAACACCAGCACATATGACCCAAACTCCAATACAAAAATACAACGTTATTTGTTTTGTAATAATCGAACCAGATTTGAAGGGATATACAATCGCCAACCATCTTTCAACACACATTCCAAATACTGTGAGAACAGATACCATAACAGTAGCCCAAAATGTGTACCATAATGCTATATGGTACATTTTCATAGGGTTTAGGAAACCGTACAATACTCCATTGCATGATGTTAGTAAGTCAGCAGTTCCCAAACATACAACCAAGTAGGATATTTTTGTACGAAATGTTTTCAGAGGATCCTTGTACATTACATACAACAAGAACGCATTTGCCAATACTGATATAATTCCTATGATAATCACAATCACATTTTCTGCATTGACATAACTGTCATGGTCGTACACTACTGCGCCATTTGTTATTGGTGTAGTTGATAGATTTCTCGATGTGCGAACATACATGTTGGTTGAATCCATGTCGTCATATACTGTTTTGTCTCATTTAATGCTGTATTTGTAGAGCCATAACTGAAACTCTTTTTATATAAACACATCTTTGTTTTAAAAACAATGATGAAATTGATGATTTATTTTTAGGATTTTGTGATTCCGTTTTACGCATGAAATGCGTGGAAACAAAGACAAAGACTATTCTTAATTTAAGTAGTCAGTTTTATGACGCCGTTGTAAATTACGACTGATCTGAATTCTTTCTGGGCAGACAGGTTTTAAGACTGCCCTTGCCCTTGATCTATATACTTTTTGGGTCTATATTTTCGTCTTGGTCCATATTTTTACTGTATAGACAAAAAAAATTATATTGCAAAAAAATTATACTACTGACTATTGTGCTTGTGGGTAGTTTCGTGTCCTAATTTGCAATTAGCTACAACCGGTCAGGAAACATTTACTGTCGCTTGCTGGGTCAGAATTTGTAATGTGCTAGGGAAAAAAGAAAACTTTTTTAAAAATGTATTCTTTATGCTTTTTGTTTATTCTAATATTCTTTATTCCTCTTTCTATTCTTTTTTCTTTCCGTCTTTTATTTTCAAGCATATCTGCAGATAATACGCAGTTCCATTAGATGATTCCCCTTATTACGTTTTCGTAGCGCTTTGCATTGTGGTTATATAGTCCAGTCAATTTGTGACCAGAGGTCAAAGAAATTGCAATATAATTTTTTTCATTGGTAAAATGTGAGGGAAGGTGTCCTGATTAACATACAAAAATAAAAAAAATCCCTTAGGTGGAACATGGTGAAAATCGAGTTTCTCTTACTACCTATAGAAAACCATTGTGGACAGAATGTTCAAATTTTGAAATCACTGATTTTTAGGCAAATGTAACATACATTATTGGAAAGCTTAAACAAAACTATATAAAGGTCAATTAAACCGTTATATTCAATTTACTAGCCAGTTTGTCGTTATTCTAGCTCAAAGTTGGAAAAATAGCGCAAAATTTGCACAAAATACAATTTTATGGCATTTTAAATCTTGTATAACTTCGGCTGGATAAGCAAAAGCAAAGTAACCGTTTAATTGATCTATATTTAGTTTTTTCTAAGCTTTCCAATGATGCAGGTTATATTTGCAAAAAATAATTTCAAAATTTCAACATTTTGTCCGCAATGGTATTCTGTTGGCAGAAGTAAGAAAAACTCGATTTTTACCATGTTCCACCGAAGGGATTTTTTGGGATTTTTAATATGTTAATCAGAACACCTTTTCTCACACTTTACCACTGAAAAACAACTATCTATTGCGATTACTTTGATCAGGACCATGTACGTACTTATAGTGATTTGACTGGACTAATAGTGGTATCACTGATAAAGATAGCGGCCTCGAATGAAAATATTGAATGTTTTCGCGAATATTTTGCTGTTGGCTATCGTGCACCTGACCCTAGCTTTTTTAAAAGTTCTTGCACAGGTCGGGACAAAAAATAAGCCATCTTGAATATCAGTGATACCACTATAACCACAATGCAAAGCGCTACGAAAACGTAGTAAGGGAATCATCGCTTGTTTTGACTTAGAGGACGTGTTCTTAGATCCCTTAGATCTATAATCTATATAGAATCATTCTTATAATAGAGATACAAATAAAATATTGGGCATTAAGTAATGTTTAAATAGGTCATAAAGTAGTGTGCATAACTAGTTGTTCAAGGGCAAGGACTCTATATATATAGGTATACATTTTTGTATTGGAGCACAGTCATGCAAGCATATATATATATATATATATATATATATATATATATATATATATATATATATATATATATATATATATATATATATATATATATATATATATATATATATACCGGGTGTCCCAAAAAAAAGTACTCCTGTTTGATTCGTAATAACTTCTAAACAAGTAAAGCTTTTAAAGCGAAATAACTTGCATCGAATAGAGAAAGGACTAACTTAGATTTTGATATATTACAGTTGTATTTCACTTAAAAATTCACGGAGATATTAATCTTTAAAATCGGGAGCATATTTCTGGATGTGTCTGAAATATGGAAAAAACGGCGTATCAAATATTAATCAAGATTTGCCCGACTGAAACATGCACTATTACCAGTAAATAAATGACACTTGACAAATTGTTTATTATGAAACAAAGTATTATTATATCTACAAAATACAAGCAAGATTTATTCGTCCGAAATTCGCGTGTGTTCCTAGCACGAATACGTTTCCTTATTTCATGAGACCACTGCATCGCGAAGGATAGTCATGAATCGTTCGTAGCTCTGAATTAGGGCATGCTGTCACAATGGAATTGTGAAGCTCTTCTAACTTCTGCAACGTTCTGAAATCTTGTTAAGAACACCCAAACTCTTTTGCCTTTTCTTAATCTTGGCAAGTTCAGAGTAAACTGAGAATTATATGAAACACAATCAAACCATATAACTCCATAAGACATAACAATTAAGCAACTCCCCCGAGACATGCAACATTTTTGGAACAAAACGTAACAAAATAGTAGCGTTGATACGGTGATGTGTATTTGCAAAAAGCAATATTATTTCCTTCAATAAAGAATAATATTCATCCTGCTCTAACCGAGAAATAATCAACTCAGTCTGTTTGAACCCATTAAAAACATAAAAAAAATAGGCTATTTAATTTAAGAAAAATTTATCGCCTGCCTTCCATGGTCAGTCTTTCATGTACTTTTAAGTTTGTAAAGACATAATATTAAAAAATACTTGCATAATTTCGAACGTTCATATTTCAGGAAACACT